TAGATGGTGTGAATAGCTGCGGATTCTTTCACGCACAGATGTTGGCTACGAGCCAGCTACACGCTAAGCACCGCAGGCGCTGGGGACAGAGGAGGGAGTGGAAACGCCCCACTGTGGGCAGGGGGAGTGCAGGGGGGCAGCGTGAGAACACAGGACTGTGGACCTGGGAGCGGGTGGCTGGACCCCCATCTCTCCCCACTTCTAGCCCGGGGGCCCTTGGTGCTGTCCCAGCCCACTCCACCCAGCCCACCCGAGACTGGGAGGGGCCCTCAGGGTCCAGCCGGCTCTCCACGGCCAGTCATGCAGTTAGGGCACAGACCCGGAGCCAAGGATGGGCGGCACCGTCTGCCTGGACCCTGCTGACCAACACGTGTGTCCTGTTGAGCTGACATCTTTCCCTGAATCCTCTGCCCAGGGTGGACAGTTTGGGCAATTCTGACCCCCCAGAAAGGAGTCCTTTCATAGCTCCCTCCCAAAACGTCGCTTTTTAAAAATTTACCAACAGCAGCTACGTGTGCTCGTTCCATAGGTGCTAAAAGAAACCGAACAAGGGAAGGGGTGGGAAGTTCTCTACCTGTGGTCTCTGGACCGGCAGCAGCATCACCTGGGAACTCTTAGGGATGCAGGTTCCAGGCCCCCGGATGCTGTGTGGTTGGGGCCCAGGACTGGTGCTAACAAGCCCTCCTCCAGGGCGTTCGGAGGCTCCCGCAGGTCAGAGCCAATGGCAGAGGCTCCTGCCCGACGCTCAGCCCTCAGCCGGCAACAGGCTTCAACAGTGGGTGCGGCTGTAGAACGGCCTGGGCCGTGGACTCTGGCGCCAGCAGCTCCCGCATCCCCACACGTCTTCCTGCCCGTTAACTGCGATGAAACAGCAAAGGCCAGGCGGGTCTGGCTCACCTGGCGACAGGTGTGGCAGGGACCAGGCACGGATTAGCCAACTGCTGTTGGACCCGGGGCAGCAGCCGGGCCCCCAGGTCCCACAGGTGTGGGCCGGCCGCCCTGGGGCGGCTCCGATCGTGTTTCCCAGGAGAATAGCTCGGCCGAACGTGACCAGAGGGCCGGGGGACGGCCAGGGGACGCGGCATCTGCCGGCCCCTTTGATGTGAGGGGTGTCGTGAGGCCCACGCCCCCTTCTTTGGTTTTTAAGAGTGGTACAGTGCGCCTGCCTTCCACCTTTTTGTTTTAAGCGAGGAATTGTTCTCACGTTTTAATCAGAACCACCAATTATCAGCAAGGCACGAAACCAAACCCTGGCTGTTTTGGTGAAAGACAAGATTCGGAGGAGACCACACCCGCTTGTTGGGACTCCGCTCCAAGGTTCCACCGACAGATCGGGCCCCGGGCCTGGGCCCTGCCTGGCTGCCAGGGCTGGGGGGCGGCATGTGGGAGGGGGCCCGGGAAGGGACCTCAGTGGCCTCTGTTGCTCCCACGAGGAACCTGGGCCCACGGGGCCGGCAGAAACCCCATACACAGATGCTGCTGGCCGCCTCTAGGGCGCACAGAACCCCCCAGCCTGCCCCATGCCCCCACTGCTGCCCACTGCCCTCGTCCAGGGGGCCACGCCTGTCCCCCACTCAAAGCCAAGGCCACAGCCACTCCCTGTCGCACCCCTGCATCCCTGGATCTTCCCCACAGTCCACACAATTCCTCCCACGTAAATAACCAACGTTGTCTTGACCCCCCTGCCTTCCAACCATCGCTCTCACGTCTCTGCTCCCTTGGCAACAAAATTCCCAGGGGGAGCTGCCCATACCCTGTGTCTTCAACTCCCCTCCTCTTGCACTCTTCCGTTATTACATTTTAATATATTACATTTTGGTATGTACAAAAGAATATACGGTAAGTCCCCTACATACGAGCGAGTTCCGTTACGAGAGCGCGTTCGTAAGTCCAATTTGTTCATTAAGTCGAACGAAGTGAGCCCAGGTACCCAACTAACACAGTGGGCTATACACCGCTGGCTTTACACTTGCCCTGGACATCCTGGGCTCGAAATAAAAATACTGCACTACTGCACTCTATACACTAAAGGACACAAAAGCACAGCCACTTGTAGAGGATGCATGCACGCGACTACGTACACCAGACACATGCACTAACTTATTTGACCAGACATGTGAACACACATTCGCATCTCTGAAAGTTCGCAACTTGAAGGTTCATTAGTAGGGGACTTCCTGTATGTAAATGTGTGTACATTATAAAGTTTACTTACACACCCGTATCACCCAGACGGTCCTTCTCACGCTGCCCCCGTCTCCGCAGCGCTGACCCCTCTGCTGGATTACAGGCTGCCCCTGTGTTTCACTTTTAAGTAATCCTACTGCCATTGTGTACATGCCCACACTGTAGGGTTTAACTGTGGGTTTGAATTTGATAAATAATATGGTGCCACACAGAGTCTTCTGGAACTTGCTGTGTTCACTCGACATTGTGTTTCTAAGACTTGGCCACGTAGTCGTTTGTGGCTGGAGATCGTCCATGTTCACTGCCGCACCACATCCCACTGCACGAATAAACCTCAGCGTCACGTGCATTCTGTGGGGGACATCTGGGTTGTGTCCATCTCTCTGCAGGGCTCGCTTTGCTCTTTTGGACATTTTACCACCTGGCACACGCGGGCAGGGGCTTCTCTTGAGGGTGTACCTTGCAGGAGAATAAGGTATGTCATATTCAACTACAATAAATAAAGCCAAATTGTTTTCCAGACAGATTGAGTCCATTTAAATTTCCTCCAAGTATATATAAAAGTTCTAATCACTCAGTTGGTTAGACTTCTTCAATTCCGACCTCGCAGTGACAGTGACGTTATTGCCATGAGGTTTCTCTGCGTGTCACTAATTACTGGTGTGATCGAGCATCTTTTCACATACTTGCTGGACTTGGGAATTTGCTTTTCTGTGGAAAGCCAGTTCAAGCCCATTTTTTGTCACTGGTTTATCTTTTCCTTGCTAATTTGTAGGCGCTCTATACGTGGTCTAGATACAAGTCCTTCATCAGTTATATCTGTTACCAGTATCTTCTCCCAGGTTGTGCCTTGCCTACCTTATGGCATCTTTTCTTTTTCTTTTATTTATTTGCCTGCGTCAGGTCTTAGTTGCGGCACGTGGTTTTAGTTGCAGCATGCGGGATCTTAGCGGCTTCTCTCTGGTGTGGGCAGCCCCGGGCCCAAGGTCCAGGCCACGGGCACCCACACCACCCCGCCCCACCGGTGCCCCTGTGCTGCCCCACAGCCCTGCCCTCCCGCTCCAGCCATGCTCCCAGGTGGGTGCCAACCCCTTCCCCCTCCCCCCCGGGCCTGCCCCCCAACCAGGCCGGCTGTCTCCAACCTACTTCCTGCCAACACCCAGCCCACGACTCCCCAGTCCCTGAAGACACAGGCCCTGCCTCACCCCCTAACCCAGGCCCCAGGGCTCCTCCAGCCACAGCCGCCTCCCAGCCTGCTTCCTTCTGTCTTCATCAGGGCAGACACAGCAGCTCCCGGTGTCCTCGACTCCTGCCACTGTGCTGGGCAATCCCAGGATCCTACAGGGCTGAGCCCCCTGCACCTGGCACTCAGCCGGAGTGCTGGGGGGTGACCAGAGACGCTGCAGCGCAGGAAGCAGCAGGAGACCTCACCAGGGCCGCAAGGGTGAAGCGACAAATGCGAGCACGTGTTCTCTGTCACACGCACCTTTGGTGTGGCCGTGACATCCTCCTGAGCTCCACGGAGCGCCTGGCTGGGGACAGAGGACACCGGCAGCACTGCAAAGCGGGTGACCCCACCAGCCCTGCCCCCCTTAACGAGCAGCCAGGCCCCAGCTCGGCCTTGAACTCGGCCCTACTTCTCATTCAGACAAAGGCTCCGAGGCGGACATCACTTGACACGGGGAACAGACGCAGGGACGGGTGCCCCAGCTTGTGTCCAGAAGGCACCGGCACGGCAGGCACCAGCAGCGGCTTCAGTCGTGCCCCCCACCCCCCGAGGGCAGAGCCCGCGTCTCCCAGGGCCCAGCGTGGGCTGTCCGGAAGGGCCTCTTTGCACACAAGACACGGAACGTGGACCCTCTGAGGTGGACCCTCAGCTGGGGCCGGCACAAGGGCAGGGCAGAGGGCACACCGCCCACAAGAACCAGGCTCACTCTGGGTGGACAAGCTTGCAGCCCAGTGAGGCCGGGCTCCCAGCCTCGGATCACAGGCGGGTCACAGAGGAAGCAGGCCTGCAGGGGGACTGGGAAAAGCAAGGAGCTGTCCCCTGGGGATCACGAGCCAGGTCAACTGAACTGAATCCACCACTAGATGGCGCTCAGACCTGGGTGGGGGGGTGGACATACAGCCAGAAGGAACAGCAGCTGACCAGACAGGCCTCACCCTCGTCCCCAGAAGAGCAGGGCCTTGCTGAGGCAAGCTGGGTATCGACTTCTAAACCATGTTCCACGAGAGCCTCCCCACCCAAAATCAGCCTTCCAGGAAGGCAGCCTGCACAGGGGGGCAGGTCTGGGAGAGTCCTGTCTACCTCCACAAAGGTCCCCAAAACCTGAGGAATGCCCACAATTTCAGAAAAACTCCGGCATCAGAAACCCAATGTGCTTGGACACACAAAACGTTACCAGCCGTTAGAAAACCTCAAGCAGTTGGATTTCGTGACATTTTAGAAGTGTCGTTTTTCAGTTAAGCTTTCCTCTCATCCCATTTCCCAGATAAGCTGGGGAAGATTGGGATGACTTCCTGCAGTGGAGTCGGCATCTGTAGCCTGATTTCCCCTTCGGTGCCCACAGCAGACATCACTAATAGATCCCAGCACCACTTCCCATGAAGATTCCAATCCTTCTCAACAGAACCGCCAGGAGCTACCACCAACCACTCGAGCTGGCCCTTGAAATGAGAAACCCACTTATCAACCTGGATCAATGGCAGACCAAGTGGCAACGTGGCCTGCCACGCACTGCTCACTTCCCCCTCCTCCCCACCCCAGCCCCCTCTGTCACACACCCTGAGGACACACAAAGTAGGGCCACCGCTGACTTATACATGTCTTTATGCAAATTAGAAAAAGATGTCCCCCTCCTGGGGTAGACAGTCAATGCCAGGACACACCCTTGCAGCCAGGTACCCTTGTGCAGTGCACAACCTACACAACCATACCTGGGGTAGTGTTAAGCCCCGACAGTTGTTTTCTTCTTTTCTGTAATGCAAGTACCTGTCTTAAGCTTTGATTGCAGAGGCGTCCACTTCAAACACGGCTATCTCAAATAAACACATTGGCAGCCGCTCGATGAGATAAAGAGCCAGGCCACCTTCCTCCACTGAGGCTCATTTATTTTAGAAATCTTGGTTGAGTTTGATAACTGACCATTTGGACCACTTTTTTTTTTTCTTCCTTGGCTTTAAATTCCTGCTCTTATGTTTTAAATTCACCAATAAAGAGTGAGCCCCTGAAACCCTCGACCCCCACAAAAGCATAACCCCAGGCCCACACTCTCTCTCTCTCTACCCGAGACCTCGCTGTGTGGCCCCAGGTGTACTATGTAATTTCCAGGTCTCGTAAGTAATAAACCTTTATTTTTTCAAAGTTTCCTGACGGTGGTTGCTGAAAGGCATCTTGCTAACACAGTACGAACCACAAGGGCTGGTCCAACCACAGCACTGGCTTCTGACAGGCTGAGACCGGGTGGCCCCGTTCCAGAGAAGCACAGTCGTGTCGGAAAAAGGATGACCACCTCCTTCTTTGCAAGACTTATTGATGAAGATGATTGGCATTCGCACCCATAAAGAAACGCACCCAATCACACTCACACGAGCCATAAAATAATAAAACACAGTCCAGATTCTTATCATGTAAAACCAGGATCCCAAGCTTAACGCCCTGGAAAGCTGCCAGTTGGCCTGTGCGGGCCCCACGTGGGCCTCTGGTCCCTGAAGGCCACCAGCAGTGAAGGCACCACGGAAATCCCAGGGCCCAGGGGGAGGGCCACTGCATCTCCCTCCCAGTCACCCTCTTTCAATATTTAGAAAAATAAGTCTCAGGGAAGCAGCTTATAAAAAGAAAGTGGCACGGACAGCGCCTGAGGGGCCGCGGAGGTGGTCCAGCTCGGCTGCAAACCAGGGCCTGCGTGTGTCCCAGCGTCGGCACGCACGGTGGCTCTGCCCAAGGGAGCAACCTCTCCAGTGGGCCGCGGCCGCCTCCTCCCCCGGCCAGCGCCCATCCCGAGGCCGCATCACCTGCCGCCGCCCCAGCCGGGAAGGCGCCTGGATGTCACCTGCACAGCTGCAGGTGCGGGTGGTGGCTCAGCTTCTCTGCCAGCTCTTCCTCCGTGGGCTCCTGCAGGACATCCCTGCGGAATCGGGGACAGGATGGCTGGGGAGCCCTGGGCACCTCCAGAGGAGCAGGGGAGCAGCGCTGATGCAGCAGCCCCGTCAGTGCTCGGGACGAGGGGCCCCTCAAGACCACTCCCCGGGGACTCAGGTCCACCTCTGGGATGCTTACGTGGCGTCCCTCAAAGCCCGGGAGGACACCTCTCCGCGTGGCCGTAACAACACAGCAAACGCTCAGAGACGGCAGTGTGACCACCCGGGGCTGACTCTGGGACGGCTGTCACTTCTCTGCACCAGCAGAGGGACAATCTCCAGGTTACCATGGAGAAGAGAAGGGCGAGGCTTCCTCGGGCCACCTGTCTACACCCACCAACAGAATCACCTGGAGACCACCGGAACCTGAGGGTGCTTCCCGAAAGATGCTCACCGGAGAGCAGGACAGAGGCCCGGCCCCGCAGCAGGAGCAGAGGCAGACCCCGGGCTCGTGGGGACCAACCGCCCGCCCACTGCCTCCCCCCTCCACGCACCTGAACAGGAGCTCCACGGTCACCTCAGAGGTGGCCTCTAGGTCCCCTGTGAGGGACTGCAGGTGACTGCGGCGGTCCCACTTGTGAAGGAAGTTCTGGCAAGAGGGAGGGAGGGACGGGTGGCCAGTAGGCGTGGGCCCTGCGCAGAACCAGCCTTGTCCCCCTACCCCAATCCCACAGTGTCGGCCTGGCTGAGAAGTCCACCCTGGACACCAGGATCCAAGGCCACCAGCTCCTACGGGAGCAGATGCCTGAGAGCCCTCCTCCAGCCCCCCTCCCACAGGTCAAAGGTCAGGAGCATTCCAAGAGGCCCCCAGCAGCCAGGGCGAGCAGCCCCAAGGGAGGACGGAGCCTGAATCCACCAGGGCTGCCCGAACCCAGCACGGCCTCTTTGGACCAAGTTCCGGGTGGGCCCCCATCAGCAAGTTAGCAACTCCGACTGAGAAGAGCCCGGGCAGGGTCGCCGATACCTCCAGAATCAGAGCCAGGAACAGGTTGACCCAGATGACGGACGACACCAGCCACCACAACACAAAATAGATCTTGGACCACCTTCGGAGAACAAGGAGGCCACCGGGGCCGCGCGTGAGCCGAGCGCGGCTGCTGCCCCGACCCTGCTGCCCCGCCTGTGCCATCGCTGTTCCCACCCTCGAGCTGGCCCAGCCTGGCCTTCAGGGGCGCTCGGCCGGCGAGAGCGGGAGCCGGTCTGAGCTCTGCAAGCTCCAGGCTGAGCCCTGTCACCCCACAAGCCCCGCTGTCATGGCCCCCAGAAGCCACCTGCTCCCGCACGTGCCCCACCACCCCCGGGAGGCGCAGACCCAGACGCACACCCCGCACGGAGCCGCGGCCGGGGCCGCCAGGACGGGTCACTCACGGGCCTGCGTAGCGCCGGAAGGCGTCCAGGAACACCTGCCAGTTGTTCACGACCATCACGTCCCACAGAGTGACCAGCGCGGCCTGTGGGGTGGCAGACGCAGGGTCCAGGAGGCCGTGGGAGGTGGAGGCGGGGGTCCCGAGGGGCGGGGGGCGCAGGACTCACGGCAAAGTCGTCAAAGTTGTTGGTCCAGTACTCCAGCTGCTCGAAGCTCCCACAGGGCGCGGAGCCGTTGTCAGGGGCCAGGCTGCGGGGGCACAAGCCGGGTCAGTGGGAGGTGGGGGCAGGACGCACACCCGGGCGCCCTGGCACCGCCGCGGCCCCTGCTCGGCGTGGACCCAGCTGGGCCCCTGAGGAAGCAGGGGAAAGGGGAGACGGCCCCCGACCTCGGAGGTGTTGAGGGCGGCGAGGAGGCCGACGCTGTGGACACACACGGCCAGCGGCCGGCCCGGGGCGGCCCTCGGCCCTACAGTTCAGGCCTGGCCCTGGACGCCCCCCCTGCTGGCACGCGGCCTGGCCTGCAGGCCCAGAAAGGGGCACGGCTGGGGGCTCTGAGCCGGCACGGGAAACACCCTCAGTGCAGGCTCGAGGGAGGGCTTCGGTGAGGAGCGGGCGGGTGGAGAGGCCAAGGAAGAAAGGGGCCTCCTGGCTCCCTCCTGGGGAGCTGCGTCTCACCCCTCCACCCCCCCGCCCGGCGCCGTCACCCGCGGCTCCAGCGCCCCCAGAGGCGGGGCGCTCTCTGCACCTCGGACCCCCCTCACCTGCTGTTTCCAGGAGCCACGATGACACCTCGGAACAGGATGATGCCGATGATGGCAAAGACGTAGTAGACCACCTAGGGAGGCAGGTGGGGCCTGTCAGCACCCCCGGAGGGACCCCCGCAAAGCCAGGCTGGGCCTGCTAGGGCGGCATGCCAGCAGGGATTCCCAACTGCGGGCACTGCGGCCTTCCCGGGAACACTGGGGCTCCCAGGCACCCGCGCCAGAGGGAAGCGGGGAGGAGCCACGGTGGGCAGCCCCAAGATAAACCGGGGGCCCAGGCGTAAGAACGGAGGCTGTCCACCCCTCCTCCAGGGCTGGTGTGGCAGGAAGAGGGTTCCACTGAGAACAGGGCAGCGAGGGCCAGGGGACGGTGTGCCATGGAAGGGTGACCGGGGGCTGGCCAGGTCCCTCCAGAGAAGTCCCACCACTCTCCCCACGTCCATCAGGAGACGTCTGAGCGCACCACTGGGCGGCCTTGTGCCACGGTCAGAGAAGGGGCTGCTGGCCGCCCCTGACCTGTCCCCAGCATGCCCGGTGGGGGGGGAGGGGTGCAGGGAAGAGGCGCACACCCCAGGCTAACCCAGCCCCCCTCTGGGCCTCAGTTTCCTCCACTGTGCAAATAGGGGTCTGGGGGGCAGTGCCTGAAGCAAGGTGCCACCTCTAGCATCCCACGGCAGCCCGAGCACCCCAGGAGCCCCCTCACTGTCCAAAACAAGCAGCAGCAGGGCTCTGTCACCTGCCCTCCTGCCCTCCAGGCCTCGTGCCTGTAGCAGCACCCAGGGCCCCTGCTCACCGGGCCCGGCCCCGCCTGGGCCACAGGGTGGAGTCAACAGCGGGGGAAGGGCTGACCCCGGGGGTGGCGGGGGGACATCACGGCTCTCTCAGCAAAAGTGACTGTGAGTTCCCCAAATCCCTCTGAGCAAGGATGGTTGACCAAACCCCACTGGGGGCTCTGTGGGCCCTGAGGGGTCCCTGGTGCCTCTTACATCTTTCATCTTCTCAGTGTGGCCCCTGGCCCAGGACACAGGAGGGATTCAGAAGTGACCAAGAGGATCTCCGGCTCGGGAAGGGGTGTGGTCAGGAATCACCTCCAGCCAGACCAGCCCTGAGCTCCTCTCTCTGGCTTCCTGCCCCGCCCTGTGCTTCCTGGGCCCTGGTCACCCGCTCCCCTAACACAGGGACCCTCCTTCCGAAGGCCACCAGCCTCCTGTTGAGCCCTGGCTCCCCAACAGTCCAGCTCCGCTCCCCCGAGGGGACAGTGCAGGCAGCTAGACTCACCGCCAGGATCCCGCCGAAAGCCCGCATGTTTCTGATCAGGTCCAGGATGGTACTAGCCACCACAGCCATCAGCTGAGACGGGGAGAAAGCACAGACCCGGTTCCTCCGGTCCCACTGAGGTGACACCAACCCGCCCACCACCCAACGCTGACCTGGAAAGGCAGGAGGAGACTGGTGACTTCCCAACCCACACACCTGTACACAAACCCCTCAGGCATCCAGACACACCTCACCTGTACACGCACCTGAACACACCCACAGCCCCCATACACACCTGTACACACACACCCAAGGCCTCACACACACACCTGTACAAACACCCACGGCCACCCATACATGCTTCACCTGTACACATACCTGTACACACACCCACAGGCCCCATACACACCTGTACACACACACCCAAGGCCTCACACACACACCTGTACAAACACCCACGGCCACCCATACATGACTCACCTGTACACATACCTGTACACACACCCACAGGCCCCCATACACACCTGTATACCTACACCTGTACACACACCCCACAGCTACCCATACACACCTCACCTGTACACACACCTGTACACACACCCATACACACCTCACCTGTACACGCACCTATACACACCCACAGGCCCCCATACACACCTGTATACCTAGACCTGTGCACACACACACTCACACCTCTATGCCCACCCGTACATACTCACACTTGGATATACCCACCCACGCAGATGCATACACCCCCTTCCCTGCAGATACCTCCACCCACCCAGCCTCAGATGGGTCTAAGTCCAAGACCCTTGGTGAAGCCATGGTGTGCAGGGCCTCGGCCCACACTGCCCACCAACCCACTGAGGCGGGGTCAGCTCGTCCCTGGCCTGGAGGCTCCTAAGAAATGCCGACCTGGAGATGGCCAGTCAGCCCCGGGTGACAGGGTTTGAGATGGGGCCTCAGAGACCCCATCAGGAACCCCGGCTACAGCTACCCTGAGCCCCAGAGAAGGCCTTTCCAAGCAGCCTGGTTACCCCACCTGGTAAGTTAGGAGAACACAGCGCTGGATGGTAGCAGGCGGGGACCGTGCTGCACGTGTGTGCACATGTGATTTATGTGCACGTATGTACGTGCATGTGCGCGTGTGTGTACAGGTGTGTACAGGTGATCACGCATGTGTGTATGAGTGCACACGTGTGATTATTTGTGTATGTACATGCGGTTGTGCTTGTATAAGCGTATATTGTGTGTGCTCTAGTGTATGTGTATGTGTGTGATTACATGCACATGTGTGTACAATTGTGTGTGCTTACACATATACACGCATCGGGGTATGCACGTGTATAGTCATGTGTATCTGTGAGATGACGCGTGTGGTTGTGTGGATGTGTGATTACATGTGTGTGTGTATAATTGTATGTGTGCTTGTGGGGCTGTGTGTGTGATTACATGCCTGCGTACACTATGTGTATGTGTGTGTATAATCGCACAGGTGTGTGTGTGTGTGTGTGTGTGTGTGTGTGTGTGTGTGTATGAAGGCCTCAGGGCAGCAGCCCCCCTCTGCACCCAGGACCCCCGAGCCACCTTCAGATGGGAAATACCCCTGGGTGACAGGTCACTCCCCTGACAGGCCAGGAGCACAGCTTGGTAGGAAGGACAGACATGGACAGGGGAAGGACCTGGACACTTAGAAAGGGGTCAGATGTCCTTGGTTCCTTTCCTCCTGAAAAGTGCTTAGGAAAGCAGACGGGAGGCTCCGTGCCAGGTGGGAGCTGGGCCTGAGCACCCGCCTCCCCTCCCCTCCCCTCAAGGTGGGTGTTACTCCGGATGGGAACATTAAGAGAAACCGAGGCTCAGAGACGGTCACAGGCCGCCCCACTCCTACTCTGGGGGTCCTGGAAACGAGCACCAGTAGCCACCAGCAGCCCGACACGGGTCCCGCCTGCACCCCCTCGCTGTCCTCACCCACAAAACAGGGCTGGACACTCATACTTCCAACCACCGCCAGCATGGCCCAGCCGCAGTGCAGGGCGGGGCCGCAGCCCGAAGGGCCCCAGGTGGCGGGGGCAGGCGGGCAGGGTGGACAGTGCTCGGCCTGGTCCCTGCTCGCCTGGCACACCCACTCCCAGGCAAGGCCACGGCGCGCACAGGCGGGGATGGTACCTCCACGCTGCAAATGATGCGCAAGAAACGGAAGGCTACGAGCACGTTCACCAGCCGGGTCACGTCCCACAGCGACAGCAGGCCCAGCGCCTCCGGCTTCCTGCGGAGACACATGGAGACGGGCTGGGGGAGGCCGGGAGGCCAGCGAGGGGCAGACGGGAGACACGTGGTCCAGAGACAGAGACGCAGGGACTCAGAGAGAGCCACAGAAGTGCCGGGAACGCGCCCCGTAGCCAACGCCAACCGGAAAAGCTCCATCGTGACAGGAGGGCAGAGCCTGAGCCGCCCACGCCTGCAGCCCCAGGGCGGTCACGGCAACACCTTCCAGGGCACAGCCCGCCGCAGTGCCGCAGGGCTACCCAACCCCCGTCCTACACGGGAGAACACTGAGGTTCCGGACGCCCAGCTCAGGTCCCAGCAGAGCTGTGAGAGGTGGGGTCCCGACCCATCCCCTATCCTCTGACCCCGTTCCCTAACCTCTGAGCCATCCCGAGCCCTGACCCCGTCCCCTTGGTGTCTCTCGTGGCCTTACTGGCCTCTCATTTCTATTTAAATTTAACCCATTCTCACCCAAGATGTTACCCCCCGACCCCAGCTCACCCCGCCTCCCCAATGCGGGTTTTAGCGCACTTGAGAAACAAGGTGAGCCGGCCCCAGGGTGCCGGGCGGTGCAGCAGCCCCACTGCTCCCAGGGCGCAGGTCCGCGCTGAGGACCGCACGGCCCCCGTCTGCCCGACACAGACCCTTCCCGGGGCCCCACCCCCATCTCAGGCAACTCCCAGCTGCTCCACTGAGACGGAAGCAGCCCAGCAGAGGGACCAAGACACCAGGGCTGCCCGAGGGCCCAAGGTCGGCACGCGTGCTTGTTGGCGGCTGTACTCTGGGCAGAGAGACCCCAAGGCTGCCACACCACGAGGCGCCCTGGGACCCCTGGCCAGATGTCCATCGCTCTGCGCGGCTAGAACTGGTGGCAGCGTGAGTTCAGCGAGCCCCAGGCCATCCCTGCCATCTACAGGGAGGTGAACTGACACCCAGAGTGGGAGGTGACAACCCCGGGTCACAGGGCCTCCAACCAGAGGAGGGCCCCAGCCCGATTCCAGTGCCCCCAGGTCCTCCCTGCTTCTGGCCCCCAGCACACCTGGGCCCTGTGTCCCATCCTGGGGTGGGGGTCGGGGGCGCTGAGCCAGGGCACTGCAAGCGGCAGCTCCACGGCTTCCCATCCCGGCTCTGGGAACGCTACCCTTCTGAAGGCGGCTACGATGAGAAGGGGCCTGTCCCCATAGGCCTCAGCAGGGCAGGAGCCGCGGCCGCTCCCCCCGACAGTCGGGCGTTTGGCTCTAAGGCTGCCCGGGCCAGCGGCCAGAAGCCGGGCGCACACCCTTCCCCGGGGCGCTAGCCAGGCCTCCCTGGGTCCTCCACAGTCACATACCAGCCCGGGTGTGGGAAGCGGTACACAGCCAGAGTTGAGATCTCCAAAACCTTTAATCACAAAAGAAAAGAAGCTTGCTACGGCAAAGGCCTACTGGCAGCTCTAACATGCTGTCCCCAAAGGGGGTTCCAGGGAGAAATCAGGACCAGGGGGTCCTATCCCCACGGTGGGTGCCACGTGGGGACATCCTGCAGCTGAGAAAGACACCTGGCCTCAGGCGTCGGGCTGCACACACGAAGGGCAGGGCTCGGGAAGGGCCGGCTGAGTCCCGGACACGGGAGAAGCTACTCGGTCAGCTGTCTCCCTCCTGCTCCCAGGGGCCCACGGCTCGAATCCATCAAACACGAATACGTGTCACGCCAATATCGCTGCAGTGACACGCACACCAGGCGTGGCCCCTCACTCCCCCAGGCCCTGGGGAAGGTGTCCCGAGACCCGAGGCCCGCGGTGCCCGAGAACCCCTGCCCCTCCCTCACCAACGTCGAGGCCCCACTGGCCAGCGGGGACTGCGGGTTCCCTCCGCGCCTCCCTCAAGGGTCAGGAGAGGCAGCCTGCCACCGCTGCACACCTCCACCCACGATGCGCAGATGCAGCAGAAACCAGCCTCCTGCAGCCGCCCGCCAAGCAGTTCATCCGGGGGAGGCCAGCCCCTGTGTCACCGGAGGCGGGAGCCCCAGTGCCCGCGGCCCCCAGGCCCGGCCAGACGCCGAGCGCTCAACGCCCGCCCGAGAGCGCGCCTCGGCCCGTCTCAGACTTTACCAGCAGGACTTACCAGCAGGACGGCGGTGAGCAGCCCGTCGAACACATTGCTGGGGCAGACCAGGTACCCCCGCAGGCCCAGAGCAAACACCTTGAGCAGCATCTCCAGCAGGTAGTACAGGATGAAGACGCAGCTGAGAATCTGAAAAGGGAGAAGCGGGACCCGGCGTTCAGTCCCGGTGCCGCCCCTGCGCCCTGCCCCGCCCCCCACTGCAATGGGGCCCAGGAGAGATCCACGGGGCTTGGACGCCACAGCGCCCCTTGGACCCCGCCCTGCAGCACAAGGGGGCTGGCCGGGAAACAGACAGCCCCGCCCCTGCCGGAGCCACGTGACCCTCTCCTCTGCTCCCCTGGGCTGCTCTTCCCGACGACCCCGCAGCTCCAGACACGGGCATCTTCAGAGCCCCCTTCTTGACCCATAGCCTCTCCTGGGGTGACCTGCACCCCGTGCACGGCTTCAACAACAATTCACACGTCTGCATCCCCCGACCCAGACTCCCCCCACCATCCGACGGGCCCTCAACCCCCCCGCGCCCGGTGTCTCCCAACCCCACATCATTTCTATGCTGGCAGGGCCTGGGTCACCCACACCTCCTCGGGGGTCTCCGCCTCCAACCTGGCCCCTCTGGTCCAATCTCCTGGGGACACCGGGCAGTGTCCTTCCCTGACGAACCTCCTGGCTCCCAGCAGCATCAGTCGCTGGGGGATGTGTTTAGGAAGCCTCATCAGCAAAGCTGGTCTCAGGCTATGGAGTCACTGTCTTTTTTGAAGCCAGTAAGTATCAAGTAGCTCTTCCCTTAAAGGGGGCTACGTCGCAGTGGGGTGATGGGGAGCATGGGGTCACCTTGTCCAGTGTCCAGTCTAAATTCTATATTCTTAGCCAATGCTGTCTCATTCACACCTACACAGAGATCACCGTTAAAGGCAGAAGAATAAACATTATGAGCAGTTATCAAGGGGCGTAAAAGGATGGAATTCTGCAGTCACCTCAAGAACCCTACGTGGCACTGATCTGACCAGAAGTCTCTCATAAGCAATCACGCTGACTCAAGTGCTTAAAAAACTATCGTCCGGGGGCTTCCCTGGTGGCGCAGTGGTTGAGAGTTCGCCTGCCGATGCAGGGGACACGGGTTCGTGCCCCGGTCCGGGAAGATCCCACATGCCGCGGAGCGGTTGGGCCCGTGCACCATGGCCGCTGAGCCTGTGCGTCCGGAGCCTGTGCTCCGCAACGGGAGAGGCCACAACAGTGAGAGGCCCACGTACCGCAAAAAAAAGAAAAGAAAAACTATTGTTAAAAGAGATGAAATACAGGTCAGCTGTATCCCACTTGACATTTGTCAGGAATAAAAACCAGCCACCTCTGCAGTATGTTATTCACACAGAGGAGACTGAACAATTCCTGTCGAATCCAGGAAAAAAAAAAAAAATTAGGAAAGTAGAAAATTTGATTTTAAGTGTAAAATAGAGGAATTTCAAACGGCAGGCCAAGAAGCCATTTCCTCAATTTTGATGCTGTAAGTTTAACCCTGTGTTTAACATACAGGACCTGACGTGTCACTTTTTAATTGGACAAATCAAGCTTTTCTTATATAATTAGAGAACGTTCAATGGTTTTCATCAACTTAATATCACTCATAATATTTTTCATTAAAATAAACTTTAAAATACATGCTTTGTGAAGGTCTGGCGTTATGGGGGCGGGGACGGCGTGTACAGCTTTTTGCTTAAAATCCAAAACGGAAAAATTGTTTTTAAGTTCCGAAGGTGTTTGACAAGACCTCAGAATGTTAGGAAAGGAATTCTCTCTACACAACTCTCCCTCCGCCGTCCGGCCCGCACGCCGGTTCACCCGGGGCTCTGCACGGGCTCCCGGCTGCCCTCCCATGGCCGGCACCCCGACCCCTGGGCCGTCCCTGTGATGCACTAGGACAGCCCAGCTTCCCAGGGACCTGGGGCCCCAGGTGGGGCGGCTGTGCCCTCTACCCCGCTAACTCCCCAGCACCCCGCACGGCTGGAAAGCTCACCCCCAGCACGAAGTCGTCACGGTCCTTGGGCAGCACCTGTGCATCCGACACCAGGAACACCTGTGGAGCCAGAGCGGACGGCAACTCAGCCCCGAAGCCAGGAGGAAGGGCAGGTGAGAGACCTAGGGGGTGGGAGACGCCAGGGCAAATCCTCACTCACGCAGATGGTCACGAGGTTTCCAAGGGCCATGAGGTTGCCCAGGTAGTCAAAGTAGTGGTGGCCGAAGAGGAACTGGGCGCTCTGCAGAAACGGAGACCGGTACTCGGGCCGCGGCGGGTGCTGGGGGGACACACACGCTCAGAAACATGCCGGAGGTGGCCACGGCCACAGGGGCCCAACGATGCCTGTACCCCCTTATCCTGGGATTTGCCCTCTTCCTACCTTACTTCCTACCCCAGGCTCTCCAGCCTAAGGAAATCGTCTCAAACACAGTAACGGTTTTATGCGCAAAGATGTTCATCACAGTCTTTCTAACACCAAGAGAGGTGGAAATAACCCACTGATGCTGTAAGTAACCCGTGACGGACTATCACACAGTCGTCTTAAATGTATGCAAAGCGCCATGTGAAAATACATGTATAAATTACAAGCTAATAACTATGAAAACTCGGCACAGAACGAAGGGACCTCACACACCGTGACCAGGCTGGAGTGGAACTCAAAGGAAGGCCATTAGGCAACAAATACTAACGTGAAGACACCCGTCAGACCCAGCACTCCCATGCTCGGCAGCCCCCAGAGCCAGGACAGAGGCACAGGGCGGTCACCGCAGCATGAGCTGGACCGCGCCTGCGCTGTCCCACGCAGGGGCCGCTCACTGCACGTGGCCACTTGATTTAAATTTAAATCCGCTCAAATTAAACACTCAGCTTCTCTGTCACGATAGCCACATCTCAAGTGGCATGAGGACACCCACGGAGCTCTGACCCAGCCCCACACTCAGACGCATGGTCCCTTGGTGACAACAGCCACAGCCTTACCCAGTAACAACGTTCCCCATCTTCCCACAGTCCTCCACGTGGGAACTGGTGCCCAGAGGCACCTGCCCACACTAGTACGGTGCGGGTGCAGAGAGAATTAGGTACCAATTCCCTCTGCACCCGCACCCATCCCTGCTGCACCCCAGAGGGTGGCTTCCTGCTTGCCCAGTGACTGCAGACCAGCTCCAGGCCGGGCAAACCGGCAAACGCCTCTGTCACCCTGTGGGCTGGACCACAACTTCTCCAAGGGAGTGTGAACCCTGGCCTTGGGGAAGACGCCCCCTCCCCACTCTACTCTTCCTCAGGCATCTCCCTCACCCCTCAGGTACCGCAGAGTTTCCTCGTATCTTACACTTACTCTTTCATCACAGTTGACACTTCTTAATGTTAAACTTCCCCTGCTAAACCCACTGTGTGGTTTCTGTCTCCTGCTTGGACCCAGACTGATATATTGGCCAAGAGAGGTATCAGCACTATCCATGATGTTTAAATGGTTACAAGAAGTATGGACTCATAGATTACCTTGTTATCAAGAAATCACAAACCTTGAAATGATTTCAGTGGTTGTCTCTGGGAAGGGGGACAGCTGGGTGGGGTTTTCTATTTTCCTCTACTACCTATAATGAATGACTGCTATGCTTTTAACCCAAAAAGCTTCTTATTAAAAGAAAAACAGACTTTCGGAAGCTGGCACAGTGCCTTCTCTACAACCAGTTAGCAAGAACCGACCAGTACTGGAGGCTAGGCTGATGGACAGGGGTTGACCACACACGGGAGGGCTCTCGTGGAAGGCTCACGTTTTCCTGGTATCAGCCTGCCTGCAGCACGCCTCTCTTCAGCAGCGATTCCAAATTCACAGGCTGCCAGGGCACCTGGGACAAGCCCCCGCATGCTAATAATCCATGAAGCACCTGCCTGCCCCCTTGCAATCAGCATTTCGGGGTAAGAGGCTGTCATAAAACCAAGGCAAGAACACCACAGCTCCCCAAACCTCTAGGACCCAAACTCCCTCCTCAAATCACAATTCTGGACTTTAGACCCAGGGAGTTGTGAGAAGAGAGAACATCCCATGGACCACACTAGGAAAGGCGTGGCCAGAGCAGGGGCGTGGTCAGGGCAGGGGCGTGGCCTGCGTGTTAGACCATCCCTGCGTCTGCGCCCAGCATGTGCCCTGCTCCGCCAGTCACAACCACAGCACCTCCTTTTTGATATCATCAGATCCTGATGCCAGAAGAGGAAGGGAGAGTCGGTTTTGGAAGACCCGGACCCAGCAGCATCCTACAGGCCAGCAGGCAAGTGCCCAGGGAGAGCCTGGCTGGCCCAGCGGACCCCACCGAGCGAACCCTGAGAAAGGAGCCCGCCTTCCCAGATGTCTTCCTGCCCAGGTCAGCCTGAACCCGGAAAAGGGCTGGATCGCATGACAGCTGCCGGGAGCTGCGTCCTGGGCCCAGCAAACCTCCTGCCCCAGGATGAGGGCCACCAGCTAGAAAGGTGCTTCCTGATCTTCTACCGTCTGAGGACCCAGTGTCACAGTTTCTGCAAAATCTGCACCTGATGGTACATACTTACTATTTCCTTCGAGTCACCTGGAAGCAGACACTGTTGCCTAGCCTCTTCCCAAGAGAGGTGTGATGTGCACTAACATACAAAGTGTCCGCCTGTGTGTCCCTACTACCAACTCCCATGTCCCGAGGGTGCCACAGCGAGGACGCTGCTGACAACAGACATGCCACGACGCACCGCCCAGAGCTCCAGGCCTAGCAGGGCCTGCCTCCAGGTGACCTGGGAAGACCTCAGGAAACCATGTTCTTAGGAAAACTACCTCTGACCGGGGCCTGAGGCCACAGAGGCTGACCACAAGACCTGGAGAAGCTGACCTTTGTTGTGGGCTAAGATGTATCCCCCAAAATTGTATTTTGACATCCTGACCCCCAGAACCTCAGATGTGACTGTATTTGGAGTCAGGGTCTCCTAAGAGGAAATTAGGGGGAAATGAGGTCACTGGGGTGGGGCCCTAGTCCAACGTGACTGGGGTGCTTATAAGAGGAGGAGACCAGGACAGAGACACACACAGAGGGACGACCCTGTGAGGACACAGGGAGAAGACGGCTGTCTACACGCCAGGGACAGAGGCCTCAGGAGGACCCAGCCCTGCCCACACCGGGATCTCAGACTTCCAGCCTCCGGGACTGGGAGATAATAAGCCCTGTTACTTAAGCACCTCCAGGCTGTGGTATTTGTCACAGAAGCTGAGCTGACTGACTCAACGGTGACACAGAGCTGCTAGGAGTCCGATCAGCAGGAGACATCTGATTCCACCTCTTCACTCTGATCCCCGTTCGAGTCCGGCTTGGCCCTCTCAAGGCCAAGTGGCTGCAGTGGCAGCCCCCTCCGCTGCTCCCACGGTCTGCCTGTGAACAGCCTGGCTGTCTCTCAGCACCTCTGCCACCCCCCCCCCCCCCCCCCCCCCGCCCCCCCCCCCCCCAGAAACCTGCTACGTAAAATGCAGGCGGTCCAGGGTCTTATGGACACAGCACTGAGCTGGATGCTGAGGCCCATTCGGTAACTTTAAAACTCAGTGTCAAGGACAACAAACAAAGGTTTTAGACAAACTCAGGAAACTCGCAGGTTAGGACACATGGGAAGAGGATAAAAGTCTATCACGGAGACGGAGAAAACTGTTTGGAAAGTTCCTCTGGGTCAAGACAACAGTCCCTGTGGTCTGTGAATTTCATGAGGTCAACAAAATCTCCCCAAGAGCCACACCATCTCTGTTCCCACGTACCATCCTAAGGACCAGAATCCCTGGGAAGGCAAGTCCTGGCAATGGTCACTAAGCGTGACCCAGATGATCAATGCCAACAGACACCGAGGACTTCCCCCTAACCCCGGGTGGCCCTGGCACTGGGCAGGTGACTCCAGTCTGGCCCGTTACCTCTTTAATCACCCTTTTGTCAAACTCATCGAAGAGCTTCTGAAACTCGCCAGCTGACAGCAGGTCCCCACTGCGGGAATGCAGCTTCTGCAAAGCAGGAAAGCACAGGTCAACAGAGCAGCTGGGCTGAGGGCAGGAGGGCGGAGCTGCCCCCGGCCCCACCCGGACTGGGCCAGCCCGGCTGATCCGAAATGACACCCACTTGACGCCCGGAGCCCAGAGGCACTGGCAGGGGAAGGTGGGGGGCAGGGGGACCGGTACCTCCGTGATGGCCTGTTTGTGGTCACTGTCCAGCTGGACTTTCTGAAGCACCTGCAGGAAGTCCTGGGGCTTCACCCCGACTCTGTGGGGAAAACGCCCCACCGTGAGCCCAGCCAGCTCAGCACCCTTGGGCGCCCCAACCTCTGGCCTGAGCAGCCCTGGGCAATGACAGGGCCTCCAAGAAGGAGCGCCTCATGGTCCTCCTGTGTCCAAAACCCCGAGACCTCATCTTCCACCTTAGAGAGGAGCAGCTGAAGCTGGGAAAGGCGTGCAATCCAACAGGCCCCGTGGCTAACGAGCAGGGGGGGCTGAAGCTTCCCCAGGGACATGGCCTCCAGGCCAGGCGGCAGAGTCGATGTGTGTCCCAGGGCCCCTCTGGTCCCAACACACGAGTCACAGCACCAGGGTGTGGGAAGGGTGCCCCTGGAGGGGTCAGAGCACACGGCCCCTCACGAGCCAGGGATCTCCAGTGGGTCACGAGGACACACGAGTTAACTCAGATGCAAGGACCATGGAAAGAAACCCTGGAGCCCAGGGACGTCTTCGTGATCCCAAAGGAGCCTTGCAACCTGCTGCCAGCAGGGAGCTCGGCACAGAGTGGGTGCTCAGGAAACACCCCCACCCCGTGAACACCTCCCCCCAGGGCAGCCCCAGGGGAAGAGGGCTGGAGCCCCACACTCACCCCTCGGGGTGGGCTTCTCCCTCTGCCGTCATGGATGAGAGGACCTTGTAGGCAGCCCGGATGCCCAGGCGCCTCCGCAACAGTGAGGTCTGCAGAGACTTCTGCAAAGGGTATGGCTCTGAGGGGCTCGGCTCAGCCCTCTCCCCAGCCACCCAGCCCCTTGTCCCCGGGCAGCCCCTGCCCACCGGCAGCCTGGGGAGCACCTCCTTGCCCCGTGGGCCTCAGGGGGACAGTCCCCGACAACAAGGGCTGGTCCTGCCGATAGCCACTCTCTGTGTAATTCCCTAAGGTATGCGTTTCTTCTCGGCAGATTTGGGGTCCCTGGCCCCCCTGCAAGGTGGGTTTGGGGGTCACTGCAAGAAGACTGCAGCTCCCTCTAGAGGAGGCGGGGCAGGGGAGGGACCCCAGGGTGGTGCTGGGGACAGCACCTCCTGGGGGGCAGGGAGGGAGGATGGGCCCAGTCCCCCTCACCCACAAGAGGGAGCCGGGGCAGTGCTGAGGCCACTGCGGACCCTGTCCCCCCGGCCCCCCGCTGGTCAGCTTCCCGCCAGGCCTCCAGGGACAGCTCCCCTCACAGCCGGGCAGGGTGGGCAGCTCAGCTCACCATCAGGTAGCCCCGGAACTGATTGTAGATGATGGCCGTCAGCAGGTTCATCAGAAACAAGCTCCCTTGGAGAGGAAAAGGCCATGGTGAGTGGGGAGCACACGGGCAGGGGCAGAGTCTGGAAGGATCACCAGCGCTGGGGGCCCAGAGGGTCGACACGGGCATAGCAAGAAGGTGAGCAGCGAGAAAGGCCCAGATGGGCAGAGACAGGGCCTGGGGCCTGGGGGCCTCGTCTGCGGACAGGGGCGCCACCTGGCCTGCCCAGCAGGGGCACTGAGGACAAGTCATCAGTGGTCACAGAATGAAAACCACGGACGGGCCACAGAGAGGTGAAGTTATAGGACTGGGGAGGTCCCGCCGAGGTGCGGTCGCAGGGTCAGGGGGTCCACTGAGGTGAAGTTGCGGGGTCTGGGGAGTACACCCAGCCCCGAGGTTTCGGGATCTCGTCTGCCCCACGTGACCCTGCAGACCTGCCCAGACTCACCTATCAGGGTGAAGGCTATGAAAAAGATGGCGTAGAGCCGGTTCTTGGAATAGGCAGGAATCATCACTGAAAGACATTAAAGGAAATAAAACACACCCACAGATCCAGCGTCCCGTCTGCTTCCCTTCGTTGTCTCACACTGCCTTCTCACAGGAAGGAGGGCCCTGTGTTAGGAGAGCTGGGAGGTCTTCTTGTCCAACTCTGCTCCTCACGCCTCTGCTTGCACACCCACGGGGACAGGGAACTCACTACCTTTCAAGGATGCTCATCCTCTAGGCTTCCCCATGACCACGCCTCCCAGACTGAAAGTTCAGCTCTCCCTTGGGTGACTCGAGGACTCACAGAACACGTGGGGATGGTGCTCAGGGTCCCGAGCGCAGCTCTCCCCAGGTATGAAAGCCAGTGGCTACCCTCCTGGGAGGGCCTCTATGGTCGGTGACCAGCCGAGCCCACGATGAAAGGCCTCAGCCAGGGCGGTCAGGCCACAGCTGGGCCCCGGAGGACCGTGACCACCCCATCCTGGCCACATCCCCGGCCCGAGCGAACAGAGGCCCCCACAGCAACCCTGACACGGTGAGCGTCACAGCCACCGGAGACCCCAGGGCCTCTGACACGCGGTGCGGCCAAGCCTCACCCCACGGCTGGGCCGCCAAGAGGAGACCACCAAGGGCCCCGCTGGGCACAGCTTGATCCATCACCACACAAAGAACACCGTCCACCTCTAGCTTCTCAGGACACAGACAACAAGGGGAAGAGGAGAACGGAACAGAGAAAGAGAATTGGGAAGAAAAGGGAAGAAAAAGGGAAAAAGTCGGAGAGGGAAGGGAAACTAGAAAAAGAGAAAAAGAAAATCAAGAAGGAAAGGAAGGTAGGAGGGAGGCCCCAGCATCACACCCGGGTCCCCAGCTCTCCACAAAAGGCCTTAGGGGCTCCCACCCCCGAGCTGGGCTCTCGGGCTCAGCGCTGACCCCGCCCCCCGCCCCGCCCCCACCCAACAGGCCCCTAGCCC